AGAGAGAGAGAGAGAGAGAGAGAGAGAGAGAGAGAGAGAGAGAGAGAAAGAAAGAAAGAAAGAAAGAAAGAAAGAAAGAAAGAGTGAGTCTGCTAACAAATAAGCTGCCAGTATCCCAGCAGGAAGGTTTATATTCAGAACATAAAGTGAAACCCTGAGAAGTGAAAGGGACCCCTGTTAAACACAGGGAGTGTGCTGCCTGTCCTTCTCCCACCAAATGTGGGATGCAGGTACAGCATGTGAAGGTACAATACCTTATGCAGATTCCTGTGATTCCAGAGTCAATTGTTGGGACATGGCTGACATGGGTGAGGAGTAAAGGCTCGCAACCCCAACTGAGTGATCAAGTTGAATGCTTCCAATTATTGTGAATTAGAATGCACTTTGGATTTTAAATTTGTTGACTTCTAAATATGGCATAGTTATATATAAATACAGGAACTTTAACCACTGATTTTTAAAAAAAATATATTTTCCCGTCATGCTTAAGACCCAATATTGACTTTTGGTTTTGAAATTCTCAGGATCTGTGTTGGCTTTCCTGGTTTCACTCAGAGTGAAGCAACAGCTTCTTTGGTTATGCATCCCCAGCTGCTGCACAGTCAGAAACAATGCCCACATTTAATGAGCAAACAAGAACTCTGTCATCAGGGCCTGGCCCTTTGCCAGGCTCTGCACTGTCCCAGATGTCTTTAAGTGACAGTTCTGTCACAGAGAAGAGGTGTCCTTGGAAAGGGATCTGAGGGGTTCCCAGAAGAGAGGCAAACCTCAACTCAGGGCCAGTGGAGTTCTTGGCATATGTGTCACAAAAGAATTTCAGCATGAGCCACACAAAGGCATAGACAGAGATTTACTTAGGAAGGTGGACACCCATTCAAAGGAGAATATAGGCTATCTCCAAAGTGAGAAGCCCTTACTTGGGCTCAGTTCTACATATTCCAGTAGACAACTACTCCATGTAGGTGGCAGCTCAGCGTCCCCTAGATTTGGAGTCAGATGATTTGCATAAGATTTTCATCTTTGCTGGAGGCTGAATTATTTATTGCCTCTGTGGTTCATGACAAGGGGTCTTGGTGTCTTGGGATGTTGGCTAGCTGTTAACTCTCCTGAGCTTGAATTTTGTTTTCTAGAAAATTAGCATAATAACATTTAGGACTTTTATGAAGCCAACTAAAGAAATTTAAGAGAAGGCATGCGCACTGTAAAATGTAATAAAAATGTGACTGTTAAATCAGTTTCACATGCTGTGCTGTCCCGCCCTGTTGCAATCATGTATCCATTTTTTGTGAGTTTTTCATTTCCCTTTGTAAAAACAGGGAGTTTTTGCGTTGTCCCTGTGTGCTCTGCGACATTCTTCTCCATGACCCAGGCTCTCGGACCCGCTTATTGCAGCCTGAGAGCCGATGCAACCCCTTCGGATTCCCCTACCCCGCCGACCAAAGGAAGCCAGCCCTCCAGGGAGTGGCTTCCGTCAGCTCCCTGACCCCGCAGCCCGTGGTGAAGCCGCCTCCCCGCGGCTCTACTCTCAGTCCGCAGCCCTGAGCCAGCAGCCAGGCGCTTGCCCAGGCGCCGCCTGGGGCGAGTGCCCTCCAGCAGCGCCGCGGCCCCTTGGGGTCCTCCCGGGAAGGGCTCTGCCGCGGCTGCGGGCGGTGACCTGGGGTGCGCATAGACCACGTCCCCAAACCGCAGGAGGGAAGGGAGAAGGTAGGCATGATGCCGGAGACTTGTCGGTAAAACCGAAAGCGAATCAAGTGATCGCTGATGCACAGGAGGTTGTACTGGGGCCTCTGCTGGAGGCAGAAAGGAGAAACCGCTCTGACCCAGAGTGCTGGTCAGACTGGCTCCTGGAACAGGGAAAAAGCCAGTAGGGGTTGCAGGAATGGGCTCTGTGGAGTCTAGGAATTTTCACTGGCATCCATTTTCAAAGGATGTTTCTTTGTGCTGGTCAGACAGGCCTTGAGCGAGGAGCATTTGCAGTCCTATTGGACCCAGGTCCAGTATAACCAAGCTTGTGGTTCAAATGAGCTGCTGCAGCTATTAAGAGAACATAGGTGGGGGTGGAGGAAAGCACAAATTGGACTGAACAAGTTAAGGGATCAGGGAGTTTGCCTTTAGCCTTTTGCGGGGATCCCCTAACAGTTTCATTCTTCATTCTTTTATGTAATTTATCCTGAGAGTTATTATGGGGAAGGCATGAAGGCATCCGGCCCTAATGCTTTTTTCTTTTTCTTTTCCTTTTTTTGGGGGTGGTGGTGGTGGTGGTGGTGATGGTGGTGGTGGTGGTGATGGTGGTGGTGTTGCAGTACTGGGGATTGAACCAAGGACCTCCTACATGCTAGGCAAGTGCTCTATCACTGAACTACACTCCCAGCCCTGCCTCTGGTTTTTGATGTCCACAAGTTGGTTTGAAAACGTTAGCAAGTAGCCAAGAACCTATTTTTAGTAGATGACAGGCTCAGTAAAGATTCTTGGAATATATCTCCTTTTTGGGGGGAGGGGTGCTGAATATCTCATTGTCCCCTTCAGATCTTCTATTCACATACTCTTAAGAGTGCTGTTTTTCATGGGGGTCCCTGATGGTGTTAGGGAGACTCAGGAAGGAGGCATCCTGGAAAGGGTGTTTGGGAAAAGCTCTTTAGGAATTGCACAGCACAAATGATTGACATCATGATCAGAAGGAAGCTGCTTGTTGGAGCTGTGTGGAAGGTCCAAGTGACTCCTCTCAACACAGAGGTCAAGGACTGTATTGTTAATGATCTGCCCTTGAGCACATGTGTCTTGAGACCACAGCCCTTGGTCACCTAAACTGCAATTTGGCCAGTGAGTAAATTTGTGTGGCAGGAAAGGTGGGTGTGTATTGTATGTACATTTTGTTAGAAAAGAGCACTCTACTAAATGCAATGACTTGATTTTGTATTTCTAGAGTCCTAGGCCAGAGGCCATACTCTCCCAACAAAGAATAGTCTTGCCCTACTAACCAAATGGAAAGAGTAATGGTGGAAAGCCAGATAGAAACTTTAATCAGTAGAGTTACACTTGGAAGACACAGGGGATTAACATTTCTAGCCCTATCTTTGGGGATAATGCATGAGCTGTGGATTATGTAGACATGGGGAACCATAATCAAAATATCTTGGTCAAACCATGGTCAGATCAGTCATTATCTCAGGATTGGTCAGACTGGACTTGTATGAGATATGAAAGTGGCTGTTTCCCAGGTGCCATTTCCACTTATCACAAGAATTTTATTGATCAGATTTGTTATTACTGGAATCTAAGGTGACTGACTCACAGCAAAGAACACAAAAAGTGGAGGCAGAGATGCCAAACTTTTTATCCTGCATTTAGTTGCCCGTTGGTCACTTGCATGCACAAGTGAAGAGTCTAAGTTATTATTACATTTGTAGCCACTGGCAGTTTCATTCGAAAGTGAGTATGAAATACAAACTGAATTCAGAATATTGTCAGAAAACAATTTGGTGGTGAAAATGATTCCAGTTCTTTAGTGTGTTATGGGCAGGCTCTTTAAGGTAAACCTGGTGATTATCTCCAATGTGCAAAGATAAACAATTGATAAAGTCTAGATAAAAACTTACTGTGCAGGGAGTTACTACAAGTAAAGGAGAAGCTTGTTCGCAATAATATTTTGAAGTGTTGACTTTTAAAATAAGAAATATATTTGTTTCTTATTCCCAGGACATAGAATTTTTCTATAACTCTGGGTAGTTTGCTAAAGAGATATTGGGTTCCCTTTTGTAATTTTTCTGTAAATAATTGAATTTTCATTATTAACTTTTAAAATGAACTGCATGTTGCAACTTATATTAAAAATAATATTGAGAAAGTTCAAGTACAGAAAAATATAAGACCAAAAATTAGATTATAAGTCTTATCAGTTAAGGAAAAAAATGTATATCTATATATCTATAAGGTTGTCTCATTTCATTTGCTGTCTTAGTAATGGAAATGTAAAAGGTCACTCCTTTTACAAATAAAAATACAGATTCATAGTAACAAATGTTTATTGGGCATCTTGTTCCAGGCCCTGAGCATTACCTACAAGTTCCTTTAGGAAATATTCTTTTATATAAGATACATAGAAATAAACACACATATAATATCTTTTTCTGTATTTATTGTCACTAAGCATCCATGAAGCCTTTGAAGTAAGCTGAAGTATGATAAGCAGAAAATGGACGACAACAACTTAGACTGGGAAGCTGCCATGAGGGAGCACATTGGAATGGACATAAGCAGAAACAAGGTCCCTTTGCACTTTATAAAATTGCATCCTGGTGGTCATAACAAAAGGAAATGATTAGTTACGTAGTTCAATGACCATAAAGGGATAAACACTGTGGCTTTGCAAAGAAGCTTTCCCTGGCATTTACTTTTGTGCTTTCTTATTAGTACATTAGACTTCTACATTATAATTGGGTTTAAAATCATACATGCATAAAGTTTGATTTACTCCACTTCAGTCCCTGGTGCCCTCCCCATTTCCTGGCCCTCTTCCTTCCTCCTATCCTCTTTACTCCACTGGTCTTCCTTTCACTCATTTATTTAGTCATTTTTGATCAGTACATCAGAGTTGGAAATATATAAGAATGGAGTTCACTGTGGTATATTTACACATGCCCATAGCAGAATTTTGTCAAACTCATTCTGCATTTCTTCTGCTTTCCTGTCTGTCCTCCCTTTGCCTCAGTCTCCTTATATAAATCTTCCATATATTTTCATGATATTCAATCCCCTTCATTTCCCCCCTTATTTTGTTCTAGTTTCCCTAAGTAGAAGAAAACATTTGATCTTTGACTTTCTGAATTTGACTTATTTAACTTAGCATGATGTTCTCCAGTTCCACCCATTTACTGGCAAATGCCAGAATTTCATTCTTCTTTGTGGCTGAGTAATATTCCATTGTGTATATCCACCACATTTTCTTAATCTGTTCATCTATTGATGGGCATCTGGGCTGTTTCTATAACTTGACTATTGTGAATTGTGCTACTATAAACATTGGTGTCACTGTATTACTATAGTATTCTGATTTTAGTTCTTTTGAATAAATTCCAATGAGTGGGATAGCTGGGTAATATGGGGACTTCATTCCTAGTTTTTTGAGGAATGTCCATAATGCTTTCCAGAGTGGTTGTATTAATTTGCAATTCCACCAAAAATGCGTGAATGTACCTTTCCCCTGGACATCCTTGCCAGTATTTACTATTATTTAAGTTTTTGATAATTGCTATTATGACCGGAGTGAGATAAAATCTTAGTGTGATTTTGATTTGCATTTTCCTGATTGCTAGATATGTTGAACATTTTTTCAAATATTTATTGGCCATATTGTTTCTTCTTTGGAGAAAGTCTATTTAGTTCATTGAAGATTTATTGATTGGGTTACTTTTTTTTTTTTTTGGTATTAATTGTTTTCTAGTTTTTTTTTTTTTTTATATATTTTAGATACTAATCCCCTATCAGAAGAGTAGCTGAAAAATATTTTCTCCCACTGTGTAGGCTCTCTCTTCACACTTATAATCATTTCCTTTGTTGTGCAGAAGCTTTTTAGTTTAGTTGGATCCCACTTATTGATTCTTGGTTTTATTTCTTGAGCTCTAGGTGTCTTGTTAAGGAAGTTAGTGCCTGCATGTATGGAGTGTTGACTCTGTTTTCAGTCTTGCAAAGTTTTTGTTCTAACTCCTAAAGCTTGACTCTTTTGATTTGACTTTCACACAGGGTAAGAGACAGGAATCTATTTTCATTCTTCTACCTATGGATATCCAGTTTTCCCATTTGTTAAAAAACTGTCTTTCCCACATACATTTTGGCACCTTTGTCAAGTATCAGATGTCTTTAAGTATGTAGATTTGTCAATGTCTTCTATTCTATTCCATTGGTCTTCATGTTGACTTGATGCCAATAACGTGGTTTTTGTTAGTACAGCTCTGTAGTATAATTTGAGATCAGGTATTGTGATGCCTTTTGGATCCCTTCTCTTGCTCAGTATTGCTTTGGCCATTGTCGGTCTCTTATTCTTTCAAATGAATTTTAGGACTACTTTTTCTAATTCTGTGAAGATTATCATTGGTATTTTGGTGGGGACAGCATTCAATCTTTATAATCTTTTGGTAATGTGGCCATTTTATTAATTCTGCCTCTCCAAGAAAATGGGAGGTCTTTCCATTTTCTAAGGACTTCTTCAACTTTTTTTCCTTCAGTGTTCTATAATTTTCACTGTGGAGATCTTTCACCTCCTGAGTTATATTAACTCCCAAGTATTTTGTTTTTCTTTTCTGGTTATTGTGAGTCGTATAGACGTCTTGGTTTAATTCTCAGCATGATCAATGTTGTAGCACAGAAAAGTCTTGATATGTGATGTTGCTCTTGTATCCTGTTACCTTGCTGAATTCATTATCAGCTTTAGAAGTCTTTTGGTGGAGTGTTTTCAGGTCTTCCTTACATAGGATCATGACATCAACAAACAAATAATTTGACTTCTTCTTTTCCTATTTGTACTCCTTTTATTTCCCTTTCTTGCCTGATTGCTTTAGCTAGAGTTTTAAGGGCTATAGTGAATACGATTTGTGACAGTGGATATCCTTGTCTTGTGCTTGGTTTTAGAGAAAATGTTTCAGTTTCTCTCTGTTCAATATGATCTTACCTTTGGGTTTGCCATATAGCCTTTAGAATGCCATGGTAGGTGCCTTTTATCCCTAGGTTCCCCAGTTTTTTTAACATGAATTCCTGTTGAATTTTATCAGAAGCCTTTTCTGCACCTATTAAGATAATCATATGATTCTTGTCCTTATTTTATGTAAATGGGTGAAATTACATTTATTAATTTGTGTATATTGAACCAGCCTCATATCCCTGGGATGAAAGCCACTTGATTATAATGCACTATCTTTTTTATACATTTCTTAATGTATTTTGTTAATATTTTTAAGGATTTTTGCATCTATTTCATTAGGGATATTGGTCTGTAGTTTTGTTTCCTATTTTTAAATTTGTTCTTTTCAGTTGTACATGACAGTAGAATGTATTTAGAAATATTATACATGCAAGGAGTATAACTTACCATTCTTGTGGTTGTACATGATGTGGAGTTACACTGATCCTGTATTCATATATAAACATAGGAAAGTTATGTCCGATTCATTCTACTTTCTTTCCTATTCTCATCCCTCACCCACCTTCCCTGCCCTTCATTCCCCTTTGTCTAATACAGTGAACTTCTATCCATCCCCTATTATTGTGTTAGCATATGCATATCAGAAAAAATATTCAACCTTTGGTTTTTCAGGATTGGTTTATTTCACTTGACATATTAGTCTCCAGTTCCATAGATTTACCAGCAAATGTCATGATTTAATTTCTCTTTATGACTAATAGTCCATTGTGTATATGTACAACATTTTCTTTATCCATTCATCTGTTGGAAGGTACTTAGGTTGGTTTCATAGCTTAGTTATTGTGAATTGAGCTGCTATAAACATTGTAGTGGCCACGTCACTAGAGTATACTGATTTTAGGTCCTTTAGGTATATGCCAAGGAGTGGGATAACTGGGTCAAATGGTGGTTCCATCCCAAGTTTTCTAAGGAATTTCCATATTGCTTTCCAGAGTAGTTGCACCAATTTGCAGTCCCACCAGCAATGTATGACTGAACCTTAAAAACACTGGGGAACCGAGGGATAGAAGGCACCTACCATGGCATTCTAAAGGCTATATGGCAAACCCAAAGGTAAGATCATATTGAACATCCTTGCCAACATTTATTGTTAGTTGTATTCTTAATAGCTGCCATTCTGACTAGAGTGAGATGAAATTTCAGTGGAGTTTTAATTTGAATTTCTCTGATTAATTAACTGGAGATGTTCAATAGATTTTCACGTATGTTGACTGATCATATTTCTTCTGTGAATGTCTGTTCAGTTCCTTAGCCCATTTATTGATTGGCTTATTTGGGTGTTTTTTTGGTGTTAAGATCTTTATATATCCTGGAGATTAATGCTCTATATGATGTGCAGGTGGAAAGATTCTCTCCCATTCTGTAGACTCTCTCTTCATATTCTTCATTGTTTCCTTTGCTGTGAAGAAGCTTTTTAGTTTGAGTCTTGATTTTACTTCTTGTGCTTTAGGAGCTTTCTTAAGGAGTTCAGTTCCTACGCTGACATGATGGAGATTTAAGCTTACTTTTTCTTCTGGTAGGCACAGCATCTCTGGTCTAATGCCTAAGTCCTTGACCCACTCTGAGTTCTGAGTTTTGTGCAGGGTGGGAGATAGGGGTTTAATTTCCTTTTGCTACATATGGATTTCCAGTTTTCCCAGCACCATTTGATGAAGAGGCTATCTTTTCTCCAATGTATAGTTTTGGTGCCTTTGTCTAGTGTTTCTGGGACCTGTGTCCTCTATTCTTACTAAGGATTGTTTTGGCTATTCTCTTATTTTCCCAAATGAATTTCATGGCTGCTTTTTCTCTTTCTGTGAAGAATGTCATTGGAATTTGAATGGGAAATGCACTGAATCTGTATAGAACTTTCGGATGATCATCATCAAGGCAGCTATTTCATTTCTCTATACTGATTTCTAACTTTCTGGAAGTGGAAGTGGTTGACAAGTATAGGGCCAGAGAGAGATGAGGACACACAGAAGCCACTTTCTTCCCTTGGGAGTTCACTCTGAGGCTGTCACCAGACTCTGCTTTCAGTTTTGCTCTCCTGAAGTCTTAGTTCTCCCAGCTATTCTTCAGCATATCAAATGGGAAAGCCTTCCCTCTAAAAGCTAGAACAAAACTGGGATGCCCTCTTTTACCACTTTTATTCAACCTCATCCTTGAAACCCTAGCCAGAGCAAATCAGTCTAACAAAAGAGATGAAAGACCTCTACATGAAAACTATAGACCACTAAAGAGAGAAATTGAAGAAGACCTTAGAAGATGGAATGATCTCCCATGTTCTTGGATAGGCAGAATAAATATTGCCAAATTTGCCATACTACCAAAAGCGCTATACAGATTTAATGGAATTAATTTTAAAATTCCATTGATATTATTCATAGAAATAGAGAAAGCAGTCATGTCGTTTTGTTTTCTTGATGTGAATTGTTATCTGGAGATATACAGGAGAAATACAGGCCTGAAAATGTCTCACCCTGATGATAGGGAGAATAAAGATTACCCTGGAAGGAGGAATTTTGTGACCCTCACACAGACCAGATCCTAGTACTCAGAATAAGAATGATTCCCCCTAACTACAAAATCTGAGAAAACATGTTCTCATTAGAATCGGCCAGCATGGGCAAAAGTGACCCAGAATTATCTTATATTTTTACAGTGCTTCTTGGGGACTTGGGAGTCTGATACAATCCAGCTATCAAGTCAGAAGTCAAGGGGTGGACTTAAGTGTGACTCTTTGACAACTTCCCTGGGACCCCTAAATAAAACTGGAAGGCAGGAGGGGCATGCCGTCCTTCTACAGTTTAGAGGAGCCACTCTTCCCTTGACAGTGTCCCCCTTTCCCTTTTCTTATCCCTTCTAATAAACTCAGGCCTGCAACTTGGAGCAATGGGTCTGAAAACTAGTGAGAGAGGACCACTGGGGCTACCTTGGCTCTGTGGCAGGCCCTTGATCTGCAACAGCAAGACAATTTAGTTACCTCTATAATATGTTAAGAAAACAATCATGATTTATTTAATTGGATACAACTATTTCTCATGAAATTCATATTGCTTTTAAAAGTAAGTTATTGAAATCTAATACTTATTATTTTAAGACTTATTGATAGGTGAAGCATACATCAAACCTAAAAAACTTTCAAGGTAAAATTTTAACTTAAAAATAAAACGTGTTAATGTTCTATGTCTTTACATAATTTAAAATGGAGAAAGTAAAAGACATTTAAAATAATACAAATCCTGAAGTGGAAAAAAGTTATAATGACATTATTAAAAAGATATATCTACATTTACTAGCAAAATAAATAATTCTTTTAGTAAAATATGTTGTGTAGCATTTAATTGATGCGTATTAGACTTTTGACATAAGACACAACTTAAAAGTTTTTGATAGTTTTTAGGGTCATATTAAGGCAATGAAGCATCTATACTTTGCCATCACTTAGTACAGAAATATTTTAAATAATTATATAATTATTTTCTATATCGTTGACTCTCCTGCTTCTTAAATGCTATAATTCTCTTGTGGCTTTGTTCATTATTAATACACTGGGAATGTAAGGACCAAGGAGTTAGCTGTGTGGTGTCAAAGGCCATCCTGAACTATGGGATGCAATTCTAATGGTGACAGTGTCCAATGCCTTTCATAATGTATCTATTTATAGGACTTTTCATTTAAAGTGAATTTTCTTTCTGAAGGGCACATGCACTGTCTTGAGAAGCAGGGGCAGAGTAGTCAAGTAAAGATTGAATAAGCTTTTATATGTGAGAAACACCTTGAATAGAGCCCAGCACTGTAGCTTCTAAAGTGTAAGTCATTATGATGAGGATTATTATTATTATTGTGGTTATTATTACTGTTATTATATGCAATATATGTCCAAGTTCTTCTTCTTCTTTTAATTCCTTAAGTGTCCTTTCACTCATAAATGAATAACATTTTTTTCATAACTAATACTAGTGAGAAATGATTTAACAATAACTCAAGGTAAATGCTTCACAAAGGCCAAATGAATTTTCATGAGTGAGGCAAGAGAAAGAGTAATTGTCCTGAGGAAGACTCATGCAAGAGTGAATGCTCACAGGTAAACCATCACTTAGTGAGATTTCAGAGGGTCATTTCTATGGTAGGATGGTGGGAAGTATGGACATAGAATAGTAAATGGCACAGCTATGCCAATCAAAACTCAGGCATGTAACAATTAGGCATGATATTACATGCTTAAGTGTATATCAGAACTTAGCAAAAGGATCTTCTGTTATTGATCAAAGAAGATATACTAGTGAAAGTAATTTTTATACTGAGACTTCTGGACAGAACTAATTAAGATGATGGCTAAATAAGTGATTGAGGTAAAGAAAAAGATATGAGCAAGTAATAGAAGTTAGAATAGCAGGCTTGACATACAAAAAGGATCTTAATCTTGAATATATAACTCTACTTTATGATATTCTGTACCTAAACAAAGAACTTTGATGGACATAATTTCAATTTTATTCTCTGGAATGAATCTTTGACTTTTAGAACTTCAGTTATAAATCTCAACAAAAACATGGAAAAAGAACATTACGCATATATTGATGAGGCTAAAAGCCACATTATATGTTTTAATTTAATTTTAATATGTAGAATACAGAATAGAAGTGAATATAGTTCATGTGCTCTCACCTCTTGCCCCTTGTACTTCATAAGAAATTCTGAACTGCATTAGGTTGCTCTGTCACTGAAGATATTTTTAAGATGTTACATTTTGCCACTACTTGTCATGTGCATGAAAACATGACTCTTACTAGCAGTTAAATATCATCAGCAAAATCCTAATTAAATACCTTACTCCCCCATATATCATATGGCATGCCAAAGCCCAATAAGAATTCTGAGTTATTTTCATGATTAGGGTGGTTAATTGAGAGCTTACTATAAATGCCTCTTCAGAAAGTTTTCATCTCTCAAATTAGAAAAATGTTGTGACATAAGTGGATGTCATAGGAACTGCTGGTTTCACTTTTTGGGCATATCAAGATCCACACTGCTCAGAATAGCAGACTGTAATTATTATACTTTTAGAATAGAGTAGGGAATTTGGTGGTGTTCTCCAACCTACCCCAATGATCACAACATCCAGACAATTCCCGAAATTTCTGAAAAAATGAAGTTTGTGAATGTGAATTTCTAATATCTCTTACACCGCATAGTAAAGTTCAAAGAAACAAAATGTAATCTCACAGGCTGCCAGGATTATCTAAGTGATGATGTCATGAATCAGATTTACAGACTGGAATGTATCAGGAGGGAACCACTGCCTATTGCTGGGAATTCAGTCAATCACGTGAATTGCAATAAGAGCAATTAAACCAACAACTACACATGGATGTAGCCAGGGAAGGTGTCTTTTACGTCCTTACAGTGTACATATAGTAAAACTGCTTTCACAGCTAACTTCTAGGAGTGGCTAGTCATTGTTATCAGGGACAATGCCTTCCTTCACTGTAGAATCTTGCTCTGTAAAAGGATCCAGACTTCCCAAGGCCTCCATCTCCCCAAATTCCTTCCTCCTCAGCATTTCCTCTACTCTTCTAGTATTTATATTACTCAAAATGCTGTATAGCTTTTACATATGGAATTTCAGTCAACAAACAATTTGAAGACCTCTGTTAGATATGAATTATTTTTCTAGCAAACACAAGAAATATAAAACATTATACAGATATCACATTAATAAATTTAAATGATTCACTTGTACTGTACCGTCTTTCGATCAAGCTAGAAATAGAATCTCTAGTTTCATAATTAGAGTTTTAACAGCCTCTGAGCAGCTATTATGCATCATTTCTCTTCTGGTACACAAGGGGAGGCCACACCTAGAACCTGAGCTTCCAGGACCCATGTGAGTTTCAACAATGACCAAGTCAAGGCAGGGATCGTGGCAATAAGGATTCCTTGTCAAATTTCCTGTTCTTTCCTTCCTATTTGATATGCCGGAGAGTAGCTGTGAGAAGTAAGGATTTCAGGAAAGCAAAACTGATAGCAGAGTCTGCGGATGACCTCAGGGTGAACTCCCAAGGGAA